TTGTTACAGTGTAATTATGCATTAAAGTACTGAGTAATATTAATTAACTACATGTACTTACTATATGGTTAGGGTTACATGCATGTAATTATGCATAATTAATTGTTATTATAATAGTAAGCACATGTAACATGTGTAACAAGGACACTTTAAAATAAAGTGTTACCAGATATTCAGCTCACAATTGATATGAACAGAATATTTTATTGTGTCCGATTTCTCTTTACATCATATACCTCAAAATTAAATTCAAAATTGAAGGTCTTCACTGATACTAAACTATATTTATGTAACATAAATACCCTTTTCTAATATTTACCATGTAAGTATTCACAATTTTATAATGGATTTTTATTCAAATTCAGCCTTTACAATAAAGTCCCATTATAAAATTGTGAATGATTACATGGTAAATATTAGAAAAGGGTATTTATGTTACATAAATATAGTTTAGTATCAGTATAAAATATATATATATATATATATATATATAAAATACAACTGTTGTTAGTTCATGTTATCTGAAGTCCATTTGATTTTAATAATATATTAGTAAATGTTAAAATCACACTAGTTTTTTCATCGTTAGTTCATGCGAACTAATGTAGATAACCTGTTAACAAAAGGAACCGTATTGTAAAGTGTGACCTTAAATCTTAATAACTAAAATCTATACATAAACCATCTGAAAAGTAACCAATATAAACGAAGGCATGGTTAACAAAATCCTAGACCTTCATACAGCTTCATATTTTAAAAACTGCTCAACTCCTCAAGACTTAAAAGTGCCCAAAGTTGAATAAACACCCCTAAACTGTTGCCGAGAGCTAGTGGGAGATATCATTCAAGCGCTTCCTGTAGACTATCTTGTAATAGTAAATAGGGTAACACTTTATTTTAAGGACCAATTCTTACTATTAACTAGCATGCATATTACTAGCATATTGGCTCTTTATTAGTACTTATAAAGCACATATTATTTCCTTATTCTGCATGACCATATTTTAGATCCCTTAATCCGACCCTATCTTGCTAACTTTTAATAAGCAGCAAATTAGGAGATTGTTAAGGCAAAAGTCGTAGTGACTGTAAAGGGTAATATATTTTGACTTGTTAATTTAATCAAATTGTTCTCATCACTAAGTGAAAATAATGGTATATTTTCACCATTTTAGAGTGTATGTCAAAGGTCTCAAATGGGAAATCATATCCAGTGGATATGGGATTTTTATTCAAATTCAACCTTTACAATAAAGTCCCATTATAAAATTGTGAATGATTACATGGTAAATATTAGAAAAGGGTATTTATGTTACATAAATATAGTTTAGTATCAGTATAAAATATATATATATATATATATATAAAATACAACTGTTGTTAGTTCATGTTATCTGAAGTCCATTTGATTTTAATAATATATTAGTAAATGTTAAAATCACACTAGTTTTTTCATCGTTAGTTCATGCGAACTAATGTAGATAACCTGTTAACAAAAGGAACCGTATTGTAAAGTGTGACCTTAAATCTTAATAACTAAAATCTATACATAAACCATCTGAAAAGTAACCAATATAAACGAAGGCATGGTTAACAAAATCCTAGACCTTCATACAGCTTCATATTTTAAAAACTGCTCAACTCCTCAAGACTTAAAAGTGCCCAAAGTTGAATAAACACCCCTAAACTGTTGCTGAGAGCTAGTGGGAGATATCATTCAAGCACTTCCTGTAGACTATCTTGTAATAGTAAATAGGGTAACACACTTTATTTTAAGGACCAATTCTTACTATTAACTAGCATGCATATTACTAGCATATTGGCTCTTTATTAGTACTTATAAAGCACATATTATTTCCTTATTCTGCATGACCATATTTTAGATCCCTTAATCCGACCCTATCTTGCTAACTTTTAATAAGCAGCAAATTAGGAGATTGTTAAGGCAAAAGTCGTAGTGACTGTAAAGGGTAATATATTTTGACTTGTTAATTTAATCAAATTGTTCTCATCACTAAGTGAAAATAATGGTATATTTTCACCATTTTAGAGTGTATGTCAAAGGTCTCAAATGGGAAATCATATCCAGTGGATATGTTTGTCCATATCCTAGTTCCAGTCGTTTTAACTAGAGAATGTTTCTATGACGCACAGACATCCTATGCACTCATCAAACACTTACAGCTAAATAATTAATTCCAGAAATGTTTGATTGTGTGAACATTATGTTTCCAGGAACCTACTAACGCGCTGCACTATTAAAGTAGATCTGTTCAGAAAAGGATCGACACTCAATACATTTCATGAGCATGCCTTTAGTGATGTTTCTGGAACGACTCAATAATGTCGTCACAGCTGATAAAATGACAACAGTGTTCAAAGGAGATGACACTCACTGACATAGATAGATTTTGCTGTGTAAATTTCAGGGTTGCCAGGTTTTCACAACAAAATCCACCCAACTGCTACTCAAAATCAAGCGACAACCTCCCGCTGTCTCGCATGAAGCCAACACGGAAGTGACTTAAACTGTAATTCATCAACTGGCCACTAGAGGCAGGCTGCAAAAGGGAGTCAGTCCCATAGACTTTATAGGCCCAACTTTACAGCAGAAAAAAACATGTTTACAGCCTGGTTCAGAAAATGATTTTGGTCTATATAGCTAATTTTGCCCTTCATGACAACTGTGAGGGGGGTGAATTTTTTTTATATGTCATCTGTTTAAATTATATTAAGCCTTAAAGTTCTGCATAATTAAGGGTGTGGCCACTTGAGTGACAGGTGGATTGCCGCTGCGGTCACCACCGTCGAGCTAGGTGGGCGTGGTTTCAGCAACCAGTTGCCCATCTTCAATTATCCGGGAGTGACGCGCTGACAAGATGGCGACGGCCGGCTCCGCCTACTTAAGGCTTCAAAAACACTCTTCAGGAACTTACGTGTGACGTCACGGACACTACGTCCATGTTTTTATACAGTCTATGCTCAAAACTAGCCCAATCATGTTTCGAGGGGGGTCCCCCGTTAAAAATCGCATTCCGGTGAGGTAAAATACACGTTTTTGGTGGGGTTCCACTGGTAAAATTCGCATTTTAGGGGCTAAATATCACGTTATTGGGGTCGCTTAAACCCGCGGACATGAAAAACAACCCGCGGCAACAGTATTAAAGTAGCCCAATCCCGCGGGAAAACCGCAGACTTGGCAACACTGTTTAATCAAGACAGAAACCAAAAAAAAGTCTGGCGCCTTCACGTGGGTGTGAGAGGAAACGCAACCACTTCCTACCAATCAATTACAGTGAAGATAATGAATCATTGGAATTAAGCTAGATGTGAGCTAGTTATCACATGCTCTATAGATACACGATTTCCAAATGCAATTATGTCCCTTGTTTTAGTCTTAAGAGTGTTAATTCCTTCAGAATGTTTCTATAGCTGCTGAGTAAACAAGTGAACTTTAGTAGTCACACGTTTGTTTGTTGTCCAGAAAAAAAGGAAAAAGACCTGACACGATCACATTATAATTGTTTTTTATTATTAAATGGGTTGCACTTTATTTTACAGTATATGCAGTGCACTTATCAAAGAAAGTACTGGGTAATATAAGGTAACTACATTGGTTAAGGGGGTTTGTACCTCTTTATTTTCCCAGTTATTATACTATAATAAGTACATAATATGCACATGCAGAACAGGACTGTAAAATAAAGGGCTACCATTACTGAAATTAGATTGTACATTCATTTAAAGTAATTTTTTTGGGCTGGGTATTAAACAATATTCACCTCTGAATTATACATATGCATTTCTATACAAAATTATATAGCATATTAATATTTTCTTTCTATGAAGCACAGATATCCCATGCAGTCAACAAACACTTTCACTGAAGTACTTTGTAAGGTTAATCATTCCAGATCCTGAAGGAATCATCGGGAGAAATGTTTTATTGCAGAAATTGCAAGTTGGCAGGACTTAAAGATAAAAATAACTTACGAACTCTCCACTTTATTAAAATAACAATAATAATAATCTCATTACAAAAGTTCAAAAAAACTAAAATGCAACAACAGCCGGTGTGGTGCGTAATCAGCTGTAAACCTTAGACTAGGGCTGTCCAAACTCGGTCCTGGAGGGCCGGTGTCCTGCAAAGTTTAGCTCCAACTTGCCTCAACACACCTGACTGGAAGTTTCTATGCCTAGTAAGAGCTTGATTAGCTAGAAATTATGAGATGAATGTGTCAGGCAGTTCAATATAGCAGTCAAAATAATAAAAATGGAAAAACAAACAAACAAAAAAACACTGAGAAGTAAAAACTGATTTCCAGTCATTTCCTTTATGTGTGAGGTAGGTAAAGTGTTCAAGACCTAATTTGAACCAACTACTTTCACATCTGGTTATTGCTATTGGTATCTGTAGAAAAAATTATTCACTTTTACACAAAATAAAAATTAGCCCACAAATTACTCACCCTCAAGTCATCCTAGGTGTATATGACTTTCTTCTTTCAGACGAATCCAGTCGGAGTTATATTAAAAAACTGTCTTTGACCTTTCAAGCTGTTTAATGCCACTCAGTGGGTCTTCAGTCCAAAAGAAGTTAATTAAAAAGCGCCCATCCATTAAAAAAAAGTGTCTCCAACGGCTCCGGGGGGTGAACAAAGGCCTCAAACGTGCAGCGCTGACCTCATACGTCATCAGCCCAGAGCTGCTTCTGTGTGTACAACAGTGAGCGCAAGCTAGATTAAAGTGATTATTACGTTTTAAATATGGATATTTTTCTAACAAAAACGCATCGATTCGCTACAGAAGGCCTTTGTTCACCCCCCGGAGCCGTGTGAGACATTTTTTATGGATGGGCGCTTTTTATTTAACTTCTTTTGGACTGATGCACTGTAACACACGCTGACTGCCATTACACAGCTTGAAAGATCAAAGACATTTTTTTATATAACTCTTGACTGGATTCGTCTGAAAGAAGAAAGTCATGTACACCTAGGATCCCTTGGGGGTGAGTAATTAGTGGGCTAATTTTCATTTTTGGGTGAACTGACCCTTTAAATGTGCGCTGGGTCATTGGCTAAAATGCTCAAACCACTGTCAGTCTCCCAGCCTTCAGGCCGGTTTGACTCCTCTATGTGAAGCGGTAGTGCAGGGCTTCATCGAGGAAGCTGTGCTCAAGGGTGATGTGCTGAATGACTCCGCCCTCCAGCAGACGTGAGCCGTACTCTAGCGCCTCGCCCGGGTCGCTGGCCAATCCCACGCTCTGCAGCCAGCACACCATGTCACTGCCCAGAAACGTCTCTGAGGTGCTTCTCTCTCCACACCTGCATAGCAGAGCATGTGTCACCGACTGCACCCGACCCAAACCAGACAGACAAGGAGACAGAGAGACAGGCAGGCAGAGGAGAGAGTAGCATGCGGCAGATAGACAGGAAATGAGAGATGATCAGAAAGCCAGGAAGAGGTTTGAAAAATAAATCAAAAAAGGTCATGCTTAAAAAAAAAGAAATCGTAAGATTCATGCAAATATGTTTTAATGAACATGACGTAACATTCAAAATTAGACTATAATTGCAAAAAGAAATCAATGCATGCAAACGAATGGTCAAATTAAAATAATCCAGTGCAAAAAAAAACACAGGGATAGCAGTTGAGGGTCTCTCACCTTTTCTTGTGAACGATGTCTCTGACGCACTGCTCTTTATGATATGTGAGGAACTGAGTGCAGGTCAGTCTGATCTCCTCAGACACGGCAGAGCCTGTGACCTCCTGACCCCAACCCTGCCACAGGCTCGCTAACCTTTAACAGCATATAGAAGACCACTTCATTAGTACACTAGTTATGTATACTGCATGTACAACACCTTTACATTTTCACATTCAAAGTTTACAAAAAAATAAAATTTTCAGGCCATCCAAGATGTATTTGAGTTTGTTTCCTCAGATTTGGAGAAATGTAGCATTATATCACTTGCTTAGCAATGGATCCTCTGCAGTGAATGGGTGCCGTCAGAATGAGACTCCAAACAGCTGAGAAAAACATCACAATAATCCACACCACTCCAGTCCATCAGTTAACATCTGGTGAAGAGAAAAGCTCTGTGTTTGTAAGAAACAAATCCATCAAGACGTTTTAAATGTAAACTGTCACTTCTGGCCAAAATATGAATCCATAATCCATAATAACGCTTCCACCAGTGGAAAAAGTCCATCTCCTCCTCTCACATCATATTTGTTTAGAGCTGTTATGGACTGTTTTTGCTTATCAACGGTGCTTGATCTGTGCATATTTCTCTCCTGATATTTCACTGGAGAAAGCAATATTATGGATAGAGGACTGATTTTGAGTTAAAACATCTTAATGATGGATTTGTTTCTTACAAGCACGCAGCTTTTGGCTTCTCGAGATGTTAACTGATGGATCGGAGTGGCGTGGATTACTTGTGGATTATTGTGATGTTTTAATCAGCTCTCATTCTGACGGCACCCATTCACTGCAGAGCATCCATTGCTGAGCAAGTGGTGTAATGCTACATTTCTCCAAATCTGATGAAGAAATAAACTCAAATACGTCTTGGATGGCCTGAGGGTGAGGGTATTTTCAGCAAATTTTCTTTTTTGGGTGAGCTACTCCTGTAAACAGCATCTTTATTCCCCTTTTTAAATAAAAGCTCCTTCCCTCTATCCAGACCATTTATTGAAGAAAAGCCACAAAAGCATAAAAAAAATTAAGTTTTTCAAAAAGCAACCTTAACATTATAATGGCATTAAATTGGTCATTTCACTACAAATGCTACAAGAATGTGGAATACAGCCCATTCAATTATTTATTCATTTTCCCCACCACTTATAAATGTCAATAAAGTTTTTTGTGCCAATTTTCTACCCTCTCTCTGACCCTTGAAATTAAACAGGCAGCTGTGCCGTCACGACTTATGAGAATGCCATATTTGCATTTACAATGAGAGACAGCTTTGTGCTGTGGGTTTGGGTCAAGTTGTTTTCATCTTCTCCATCCTTCAATAACAGCTTTTTGCAATGCTGCATTACACTGTAACAGGATCACAAAGCAATCCTAACTGAAATGTGCCACTGTTCAGAGATCAGGGATCTTGTTCCTCGCTCCAGCCGAATTCTCTGCAGAGCTGCAGGTGCTACACACAGCCAGAAACAACACACTATTATCATCAGTTCTTCTCTGCTGTTTGAGAATATATTCCCTATATAGCTTTTTCACCTAACCGTGACTTGGCAGCAGGTACTGTAGGTAAAAAGAGGATATGCAATGCATAGAAACATTACAGCATTTATTATGTGCTATTAGCAGTCTACATTCCATTTAAAACAACAATATAAGAGCAAGAAACCTGCTTTTTATCCTCAGATACACTCATTGTAACAGCAACTTAACATCTTAAAAATCCTAAAAGTACTTAAATTAATACATTAAAAGGTTTTAGTTTTAAATTCAGTAATGCTGTATTATCTAACTTCTTAATTTACTATAAAATCAATCCTCACTGATAGAACATCAAACTATTTTGAAGTGTTTTACTGTGTATCATATTTTACCATTTCATTAGTTGCCTCAAACCAATCCTGGAGTATCAACTAAATCTAGAACTGTCCAAAAAAGAATTGCATGCACTGATTTTTCATAAATGCATGAATATGCATATATATATATATATCTAAAAATACCTTGCTACATGCACTGCGTTAGGCTAACCGAGACTTTTGTCATGTTAGTTTTGATTGCTTCCATTGTCCTCATTTGTAAGCGTCTGCTAAATGACTAAAAGTAAATGTAAATGTGGATCGTCACCTGTGCATGCATTCAAATGAATTCATCTGACTAATCTAAGTTGTTGAAAAAGTTTTCAAAAAATGTCAGCTTAGTCTCAATAAATGCTCTTTTTGGACTGGAGAGGAAGTTGTAATTTCAGAAAAAGACAGTATACTCTCATAATATCTCAAAAGATTAAGGACAATTTGATTCATCATCATAAGACCTTTTTAATTAAACTCTTACCTCTTTTTGAACGGAGAAATAATTAAATGCTTGTCAAGGCCAAAAAAGGCAAATGAAATGAGGCCCTACAGTGGAAAAATACAATGAGAGACGCATGTTTCAGTAAAAGCTGTAACATATTAGACTTCAGCACAACACATGTGACACTGGTTTACCTGCCCATAGTTGACCACAACACAGAAGAACTGCAGCTCCAGATACAGCCGCCCTGGATCTTTATTAAAGAGCCACCACAGACAGCTGGAGAGATTCTACAAAACAGGAGAATGACTAGACTCTAACTGTACGTAACAGTGAAACTCCACCTATAGATAAGAGTGGTATGCATAATGAAATGAGCCATTAAAAAAAAAGATGGTATCATATACAAAAGCAAGCAAAAACCTTTTTTGGTTACGGTCTCTGGGCACTTGTATCACTTTTTAGTGTGGCACAAAAATGTGGTATATTCAAGTCATTGTCTCTTTAAGCTGTAATTTAAATTCATTTATTTAAATGAATACATCTGGACAAAAACAAAGACGCATCACATGATCGACCATGGTACTTGTTTGTAACAGGTGTAATGTCAGATTATTAATTGCACGTGCATGGTAAACGACTGTACTCACAGCGAGCAGACTGACGGTCAGTAACAGACACACGAGCATGTGTCTCGTCGACTGTATATCTGTGTTTTGTCTGTCTGCCACTTTCTGTTCCTCTTCAACCAGCAAACAGCTTGTGGATGTACACTGCTGGCTACACTGACCTAAAACAAGCAGTGAACATTATGCACATTACATTATATTTCACAATGTATTTAAATGTATTCGGTTCACTTTCAGTGAGGTTTTATTGATGCAGAAGCCATTAAAGGAATATCTTTCTAGATATACCTCGACTCTCTGAAAGTAGTCTTTATAATCAGCTTACCAGGAAACCAAATGTAGCGTTTAAAGTGTTGATATGAGGAAGAACTATTCATGGATTGGCCAGCTTTTTAGCCCATGCAGGTCTATTAGGAAAACTACGTTCTGTTGAGCTCCAGCTACAGTAAGGCCTCAAAGGAGGACAGTGAAGCCATCTCTGACCTATCTAGAGTATGAACAGGAAGTGAAAGAAAGAGAGAACCTGTTTGGATGGATGCTTCCTCCTTGGCGCTTGTTATGTCAGGCTCGGACTGCAGACGCCCACACGCACACTCGCACGTCTGACAGTCTGACAAAACACATACAGATATCAGACAACCTCTCTCACAGTCTTTACCCTTCATACAGTCTTAGTTGTTTTACAAGTATTGTTTTTGCAGGCTGTGAATGGCATACTACATACTACTTTCACTAACTACTATTTTCATTCTCACAAATAGTATGCATTCTGTGCTCACTAGGAACATTTCCTCTATTTATGAAATAACCAGATGAATCTAAAAGGTGCCGTTTATAACCACAGCACAGTGCGTGGATAACTGTATCCCACAATGCAGCATGCTTGACTTCCTTTTCCAATGTGATGACTATGTCTTATCTCCTTAACTCAAGCATTCATAGAAAAATAAAAATGCTGATTTGATGATATCTGGACGCCAGCTGCTGAACTAAATGTGACATAATGAGATCATGTAACACTGTTTGAAACATTGTTTCACTATAAAATACAGTACTACACATAGTGACCATATAAAACCATATAGCTTTTTTTACATAAAAAGTGGGAAGTGTAAAATATATACTGTACAGTATGAGATAAACAGTATGCTAGTATGTATTCGAGGGCCTACAATTATCTTATTTTCTAAGGGTGGAATACGCTTTCTTTGGTTCATGGGGGACAGTAGTAGTATCTTATGCGTTGTTTATGTGAGTTCATAATCAGAGGCAAAAATTCACCTTTATAAAACGGAGAGTTCCGGTGCTTGATTCTGATTGGCTGAGCCACGTTCGAAGCTGTTGTAAATTACTCTACAAACACACACCTTTGTTCACGTTTGTGTGTTACTCGGCATCCACTTTGTTGCAACCACAACTGATTCTGAGGAGCTACATTGTTTGGTGGAAGAATACTGTTTTGATTAATCGGTTTTATTTTGTGAAACCTTACTACGTATATGGAATAACCGTTTTATAAAAGCAATAAGCCCCGTGAAGCCGTGGTTTACAGTGAATTTATAACAGCTCAGGCGGTTTTAGGCATGACGCGAAAAAACAAAGCGGTTATAAATTCACTGTAAACCACGAGTTCTTGGGGCTTATTGCTTTATTTTAGGGTGCTTCCACACCTGTAGATCGATTGCTTTGTTCCGAAACAGGGATTAAAATTATTACAATGTTGCTTTTTATTCTTGGTGCAGTTTCTAAACGGACCAAATTTGTTAATACAAGTCACGCGCGAGTAAACGGGGTTCTCTCATTGGTCAAAGTTCCACGGTTTATTTTCCAGGAATCCACTATCAGGTTGCATTTCGACTGCACTTTCATGTTAATCGAAATGTTCAGAAACATATTCATGATATTAATGGAAAAGTACAGTGTCTCTAAAAGCCAGCAACTACCTGCGCCATAAAGAGGTTTATGGTGAAAATGTGAGGAATTCTGCAAAACTTTCTGCTTAGCAGCATGACTGCAACACTCCACACCTGCAGGGACAGGGACATGAACAACAACAGAGCATTTCAGAGAAGTGCAGGCCATGTTTCCATCACCAATGTGAACATATTACACCTACAGTAACAACCTGGTTTAACTGGTTCAGAGAGTCTGTATATGCATGCATATTGCTATATATAAGCTTGAACCAAACTCTCCAGCTGAATGTAAAGAGGAAGGAAGTGTCAGCAGCTGTATCTGACAACAGCATGACACAGTCTGAGATTGGAAACACTGCAGCTAACATCTACACTAGACGACCTGCTCGAACACTGCGATGAAGTGCTTGAATTTCAATGGTCATAACAACTTAAGATCATAATGAGTGTTTACATGCATCTTATAATTTTAGTATCATATGGTTTTGAAAAATATTTATGCCTTTTTCAACAAAAGTTCAAATTTAACGACTCTATATTTGTCATGTGGTATAGCCAAGTAATATATATATATATTTTTTTTTACCTGCTTACATCTTATTTATTATTGCTATTTATTATCTATTTAAAAAAGCTTTTAAATAATTATATAAAAAGTATAAATTGTTCCAATTTATTTTCAAATATCATGAATTATTATTTAAATTATTAATTAAAATAATTGTGTCACATGACATTTTACAGCTTGAACTAACTTAAAAGGTAAAAATAATTACAAAATAATTTTAAGGATTTTTCTTTTTGATACTCATTATGATACCAGGACAGTTGCATTGTACCACACCATCAAATTTTACCCTCCAACAATTTAAAATGTATTTCAATTCAGAAATTGCTGAAAGAACTGAATATATTACTAGAGCTTTAATACATTAATAATGTATTTTGAATAAATGTATAGATCCAGACAAAAATACGTACACGATCATCAAATCTATTTTCTCAATTACCCCAAAAAAAACATTATTTTACATCATTACAGATTTCCCACAGCATTTCCACACTGAAATAAATTTTTCCATGGCATCTCTGGCAATAACACGGATTTACCTTCATCCCATAATAATCACCTGCACGAGAGCAGAAGCAACACAAACATGTGCACTCACCACCGGCATGAGGGCCGACAGCAATATCAACACACTGTAACCATTTCTGTCTTTAACAGGAAGCAAAACCAGACTAAATTGGAAGACTGAAAAAAAGAGAAATGAAAACCGAGCATCTGCGTGTGAACATATCGATACTCACCAAAGCAAAGAGGCTGATAATGCTGATGTTGAAGCTGACGTGCTGCAGCGCTGACGCTAGTGGATCCGAGTCCATCCACGGAATGGTCAACAGCCAGGCAGACACATACATGATGGGAGCAGACAGAAACGTGCCGATCACCATCCCTGAGGTCACCTGAACGGGACAAATGTTTCATTTAAAAGGTGATCTTCACAAATACTGTGACGGTACTTTGATAAAGTACATGAGTCAATCAAAATGTAACTAATCAAATAAGGTTCAAATTAAGTTAAGCGTGCCATGGGAGTGGTGTAAATCATGCAAATATAGAATATGCAGACACATTCAACCTAAACTGAAAAAAATCTAATTCAGCTTAAAAAAAAGTCTGAGGTCTGTATGATTTTAAAAATGTTTCTCAAAGAAATTTCTTATCTTCACCAAGGCTGCAATTATTTGATCAAAAATTCAGTAATAATTTGAAAAAGTATTACAATTTAAAATAAACGTTTTCCATTTCAATATATTGTAAAATGTAATTTATTCCTGCGATGCAACGCTGAATTTTCAGCATCATTACTCCAGTCTTCAGTGTCACATGATCCTTCAGAAATCATAATAATATGCTGATTTGTTGCTCAAAGACTTTACTGTTACTTTTGTTTAGTTTTTTCTAAATAAAAGTACTAATTTTTAATTAATGAATTAATGAACGAATGAATGAACGAATGAACAAACAAATGAATGAACGAATGAATGAATGAACGAACAAATGAATGAACAAATGAACGAATGAATGAATGAACGAACTAACAAACAAACGAATGAATGAATGAACGAATGAACGAACAAACTAATGAATGAATGAATGAACAAATGAATGAACGAATGAATGAACGAACAAACAAATGAATGAACGAACAAATGAATGAACAAATGAACGAATGAATGAATGAACGAACAAATGGATGAACAAATGAACGAATGAATGAATGAACGAACTAACAAACAAACGAATGAATGAATGAACGAATGAACGAACAAACTAATGAATGAATGAATGAACAAATTAATGAACGAATGAATGAACGAACAAACAAATGAATGAACGAACAAATGAATGAACGAATGAACGAACTAACTAACAAACAAACGAATGAATGAATGAATGAACGAACTAACAAACAAACGAATGAATGAATGAACGAATGAACGAACAAACTAATGAATGAATGAATGAACAAATTAATGAACGAATGAATGAACGAACAAACAAATGAATGAACGAACAAATTAATGAACGAATGAATGAACGAACAAACAAATGAATGAACGAACTAACTAACAAACGAATGAATGAATGAATGAACGAATGAACGAACAAACAAACAAACTAATGAATGAATGAACAAATGAATGAACGAATGAACAAACAAACGAATGAATAAACGAATGAATATTTGAACAAATGAATGAATGAACGAATGAATGAACGAACTAACTAACAAACGAATGAATGAATGAATGAATGAATGAACGAACAAACAAACAAACTAATGGATGAATGATCAAACGAATGAATGAACGAACAAACAAACGAATGAATAAACGAATGAATATTTGAACAAATGAATGAATGAACGAATGAATGAATGAACAAACAAATGAATTAATGAATGAATGAACAAAACGAACGAACGAACAAATGAATGAACGAATGAATGAGTGAATGAACGAACAAACAAACAAACAAACGCATGAATGAATGAATTAACGAAACGAATGAATGAACGAACAAATGAATGAACGAATGAATGAACGAACAAATGAATAAACTAATGAATGAATGAACGAATAAACAAATGAATGAATTAATTAATGAATTAACGAAACGAACGAACGAATGAATGAACGAACAAATGAATAAACTAATGAATTAAAGAAACGAACAAACAAACAACTGAATTAATGAATGAATGAACGAAACGAACGAACGAATGAATGAACGAACAAATGAATAAACTAATGAATGAATGAACGAATAAACAAATAACTGAATTAATGAATGAATGAACGAAACGAACGAACGAATGAATGAACGAACAAATGAATAAACTAATGAATGAATGAACGAACAAATAAACGAATGAATGAATTAATGAACGAATGAATGAATGGTGCAAAACCACATCTACACAAAGATCGTACCACTTCCAGCTCCATGTTGTAATGTGATGCATATATGGCCACGCTAGGGGCAGTGGGGAAGACTCCGTACAGGAAGGCATAGTTTGACAGACTGGTGTGGTTCATCGAGCTTCTGTTTCCACAGTCCAAAACCTCAAGCATCCCTCTACAGATCAGAGGCATCACCAGCCTAAAGACATCAGGGGTGAACAGAGGGACTTCTGCATTATATCATGAAACCATAAGGAACCCAAGAACTTCAGATTACAGGAACCATCTTTAGCATTGTCAACATTATTTTTAATCTTACTCATCAATACGAGTAAGAACGGAAAAAGGGTTTGGGAGTAAACTAAATATGCAGGTCAAACAGATCAGTTGTTGCAGTGTTTGTGATCGACAGAAGACCGAAATTCATGCAGTTTTGGAACGACTTGAGAGTGAGTAAATGACTGGAAAATGTTCATTTTTGAGTGAACTGTCCCTTTAACTGTTTGAATGGAAAAGAGCAGCGTGGACATTCTGCTAAATTTCTTATTCTGTGTTTCACAGAAGAGAGACGACAAATGATGATGGAATATTTCCCTTTCACTACTAACAATTTGCATGGTAGACTTACAGTTTTGCCGTGATGAGGAGAATAAGTGCCACCACAGTGGAGCGGGTAAGCTTTTTCAGCTGACCCACAATGGTGAGACCCAGATAAAACAGCGCTGCTCCCCCAAACGAATTTGCCAGGCCATCTACAAACTCCTCCATGAAGGGCGGGATCTTCTGGCCCAGCAGGAAGTGAGAAATGATCCCGATCACCACCATAAAGACAATAGGGTTCTTGACCACCTGAAGGAGCACCAAACCCAGCACTTGCAGCTTACTCTGCTGCTGAGGTTCTCCAGTCCTCCGCCTCTGCACCTCACAGAACGCAAAGCCTAGCGGGTTCAGGACCATGAGGGAGACAGGAGCAACCAGGTAGATGTACTGAAGATACTCAGGATGAGTGTTGCGGTACAGAGCTTCAACTGTGGAGGAGGCAGAGACAATTAGTATCAGATAAACTAAAACTGAACATTCTGTCATCGTTTACTCGCCCTATTTTTGGTCCCAAACCCTAATGACTTTCTTTCTTCACAAGAGGAGATGTTTAGCACAATGTCCAAGGTGTTCGTTTTTAGAAACCATAAATTTAAGAAAGCACCAAACAGCATCGGTTTGGATTTTAAGAGCCATGGTTGAATATGCGCAAATGCTCCATCCACTTTCATTACACCAAAACGAGCAGCTTGGACATTCTTCTATGAAAATTCTTGTGTGGAAGAAAGAAGATAATATGGGTTTGGAACAGCAAACAGCAAATTCATGTTTCAGTTCCATTCGACTTTTTGTTTACGCAATTTCTGGGTCAAAGATTAATGGAAGACCATTTGGCTTACACTAACATCCGATACTATATTTTTATAAGTTTAAAGGCCCATTCACAGCAAGGATGATAACTATATCTATAAAATTGTATTAATCATTCTAATTCTATGAGAACAGGGAATAATGATAATGCCACAGAGGAACGATATAATTGGAATCACTATTAGAACTTTTTTTTTTCCAGTGGATGAACGATAAAAACATTGACATCAAGTATACTACTTGTTACAAATAGTGGCAATTATCTGCACTTCAGTATTGTAGTACATTATAAAACAGTATGCAATAATAACATATTGAATGTAAATTATAATTTTAATTTAAATTATTAAATGGATGTCACCTTATTGGCACAATAAAGCCCTCCCTACACCTACCCTAACCCTACCCCATACTTTATTTTCAACTTTTTGATTATTTACTTAATTTTTATTGAAAATAAATGCCTTTACGATGTGATACGAGATTTGAAAAGGGAGAAAAAAAAAGTTCGGCAAAAGGCGGGATCGAACCCGGGTCGATCGCGTCAAAAAACCAACGACACGCACTTATCCATCTGTGCCACTGGATCTAACGTTTTACAACCACTTTTAACTAAATGTAAATATACTCTCCGTATGTTTTATTCCATAGTAAGGGCAATTCATACAATACATTTAAACTGAGCTACTTTAATACCATCTCCGAACTTTCTACCACGACTCTGCTGATCTTCGGCTGGTTCTTCCCTGTATATGTTGATTGACAGATGTCTCGTCCAGTCAGCGGTGAGTAATCCCAAACCAATGGCGCTGCCTCAAACTATACCTACCTCTTCCGGTTTGTCTGATTTGTCGTTGTGTTTTCTGACTTGTTATTTTGTTTTCGGATTTGTCATTGTGTTTTCTGACTTGTTATAATGTTTTCTGAATTTTTGTTGTGCTTTCTGAATTGTTATTTTGTTTTTTAGACTTGCATTTGCGTTTGTAATTTTGTTTTCAGAATTGTGATTTGTTTTGCACTTCTCGGCCGCCGTACTTAAGGCTTATTCTCTGTATTTATAGCTTGGAAAAAACAAACCATGTAGTCAGTGATGTATCTGATATATCAACATTTCTACATTCATTCACGGGGGCATCAATATCTTTTCAACATGGATGACTTACTATTTCAACACTGATTTACAAGTATTTCATTAACCTTTTTACAACCATTTAGCATTTCATGTTGTTTCAATGTTTTTTTTTTTCAATATTGAAACAACTGACAATGTTTTAACCACTTTTCAACGTTGAAGGTTGGTCACGTGCCGCCTGAGGTGAGGTATTATGTCAATCATACCAGTACTATGTGCCAAGCCCTGGAAATGCATTCAATGAAGCTCAAACTAAACTAACAGGCTGTACAGCATACGGATTGTGTTACCTACAAACTCATCATGCGTGGGGAGAACTTTGGGCAAATGAAAGTGAAAGAACATACATGCATACAGTCAGAAATATCACAGATTTTTTTAAAGATCAAGTTTTGCATGATTTGTGGGTTTAGTTCTATTTTTGGATTTGTTCTGTTACACATAATATGGAGTTTCCTTATGGTAACAGACACATGCTGTAGCCTATTACTTTATTTATGGCTTCTCCTTTTCCACTTACCTATGGGAAACCCCAGTGCGAAGTCATTGCTCTGTGTGGCAAATATGGAGAAGAGGCCAGCTTTGGAGAAGCGGCTCTCTCTGTTCGCCACCAAAAGTGTGAGGACACACACAAAGAAGAACACAGTCACTTTAGCCACCAAAATGCTGAAAAAAAATGGCCAGATTACGTTGCCAAAGTCCAGCAACACCATGTTTTTGAAAAGCAGGGCTGGAAGCGCAAACTTGGACACAAAGCTGCCCAGTCCTTTAGCTTGTGTAGCTGGGATGATGCTTGTGCGGCCCGCGACATATCCGCAGAGAATGATCCCAAAACACTCGAGCAGGGCTGGAAGGAGTTTGTCGATCGACATGCTTGGTGGGACGGAGGGGGGGTCAGATCCATCCCTGCTGCTGAAGATGGAGCTATTAACTGACAGATCGCCCATCTTCAGGCTGACCACACGCCCCTCAAAACACTCTGACAGTAGAGAGAAAAAAACCTTCATTAGTTTGTGTGGCTTTTTATTAGAATACCAAATATAAGTCGTACATGTCTAATGAATATATAAATGTGTTTCTAACTAAACGTTTTGTAGCACAGTATATGTGAATATATAGAGCTAGTCAAATCCTGGTATTACTGATAAAATGGTACCGTCTAGTCAAACCCTAAAGCCTACTGTATCATATTTGATACATGAATTTCTAAGTTAGTATCATAATCAAAACTTTGCTAAATAGCCTGTCGTAAAAGAAAATATCCGAAATGCCTTCTGTGGTCTCATTGATAGTACTTTTTTTTTTTACAAAGTAAATGTGCAAATAACTTTTATATTATTATTAATATTTTAAGACAAATATTTACTGGACTAAAGCATCTAAGGTTTACTTTACCCATGCATAATTTTTAGATAAAACATGTTAAAACGTGAGTACTAAATGATACATCATACTTTTAAGGAATGTTTATCTATTCATCTCTTAATCATTGTATTGCATCTTACTGAGACATATTATAGGGCGATATTAAGTGACAACTGATATTTATACGCTTTTTGATTAAATAGTCTGCTATACTATTATACAAAAATACAAACTATCAGAATTTCATCTTGTTGGTCATATTAATATCAGCAACTGTAGCAAATAGCTACAAATTGAGTTTTTTTTTTTTTTTTAGCATGAACTTTGTATTCTCACTATATCATACTATATGAGCCTGGTCTTTAAAAATACTAAAATATAGTACAAAACATAAAACACATATGCAAACTATTTTAGTATGTATATGTGTACATGCATATGTGCATATATATTTTTTTTCCTAACTACTGCATACAGTACGCCAGACTTGACATGGTTAAAACGGTATTGTGATGTTTCTAAATGTATATGCAATTATATAGGCACATGGGAATATGCAGTTGAAAGCATCAGATGGTAATACTGAATGATTACCATATTTACGTAACTTTAAGTATTTACTCCAAGATATCACTTATATTACGGTCCTGCCATCATACTAAATATCCACTTGTGGTACTCTCTTCTGCGTTTCCCAAAAGCATCGTAATGGTCTCTACGACCCACTTATCTCAGGAAGCGCAGCCCTGAACACACCTGGTCTGTAAGTAACTTACAGTGGTGAGTTGTTGACAGACTCACCGGATCAGCTGATTCCTGTCAATCCGATCTAGTGTGTATCTAGTATAGGCACTTTCACGCATGCTGTCTCATCCAGAGGACTTTGAGCTCTTCCGCGTCGCCTCTGCTCTCAGTGCTGTACGCGTGTGTGTCTTGTTATCTCAGTAGTGTGTGTCACACACCGCTTCTCATCGCAGACCAACTTCAGCTCGCCAATAGAAAGCAGCCGAGACTGTCCGCATGCGCACAGGAGCCCGGGGTCCTTTTCACGTGGTGCTTTGCATAAGCCCAAAACAGACTTGATAGTTCCAACTCTTTTATTAAAAACAGCTATATCTCTCGATTATATGGGAATGATACTAACATTACAACGTATCCATTCTGAAACACTGAACAATCCATCGTATTAATTCATACAGCTTACACAATAAGTGCTCGTAATGACCGATAGAGGGCAGCGTTTCTCTGAGCGAAGGATTCTCAAGCCTACACTCTTAAAAATAAAGGTGAAGAAGAACCTTTCTGTCTAAATGGTTCCATGAAGAACCTTCAACATCTGAAGAACCTTTCTGTTTCACAAAAGCTTCTTTGTGGCGAAAGAAGGTTCTTCAGATTATAAAAAGCTAAGAAAGAGATGGTTCTTTAAAGAACCTTTGACTGAATGGTTCTTTGTGGAACCAAAAATGGTTCTTCTATGGCATCGCTTGAAGAACCTTTTGAAGCACCTTTATTTTTAAGAGTGTACTGCTGATTTGATGTGATTTGATTTCTTGACTTCATTGTTTGGGCCACTTGAGCAGTTTCTGCGTAGGAAAAATGACTGCAGACTTTTATCAAGCAGCTTAAAATACATGTTCACGAATGTAAAATAACAACACACACCATAACATATACCTTTAAGCTGCTGAATTTGGAAGTGCTCATTATATCAGCTTTGTTAACACAACTTTGCTTTCCAAATGGCTTGATAAAACTTGTGTGCTCTTTCAGTCAACCAGATTACATCCTTAATAGATAGTCCTGGGCTGCGTTCAGCCCCGACAAAACGGTGCAAAACGTTTTTAAACGGAAACGGTGGTGCGTTGAACACCCTGTTCTGATGACGCAAGAGTTGCAGCTATGGCAGCTGAGAAGGCCATTCTTTGTGTTCTTGTTGAAGAATTTTCGGAGCCTGATGAAATCGGTATAAGTACGTGTTTAATACTGCAAAATACGCTCGCCGGTACATGCCCTTGCCCTCCAGAATAAAAGAGAACAAAAGGATGTGTGGAAACTGTGGTTCCTAATTATTGTGATCCAACATTTGCCTCGCATTTCAGGATGAAAAGACAAACATTTCAGGTGAAGGATAATCCACTTCTTACCTCCGAGACTGTGTTATGATCTATATGACCTTATTATTTTTATTGTGAGTATTCGGCTTATCATTATTGCTGATCCCTGTTGTTGTGCTATGATATTTTAATATTTACCATTATATAATCGGAGGGGTATAGAAAAGTTTATGAAAGTGTCACTCCACAATACAATAGCAAAATATATAAATATGTATATTATTTTTATTTTGCATTAATCAGTATTTAGTACACCTTCCTAAGGAAAGGCTATGGACCAGAAGACATTGCAATTACTAAATGATATTTAGACAGACTTAAAGAAGTTCCAGATCTATACATGTGCTCTTATTATTTCAGTTATTTTGCCTTTAATGTAAATAAACATGTGCAAACAATATACTCGCTCTTGGGAATTTATTACATTGTGCGAGCTGTCGCTTTAATACCGCGTGGTTTATGTACTGAATTTATTTGGATGTTAATTACATTGTGCGAGCTGTCTCTTTAATACCGCGTGGTTTATATACATGTTGCTGCTGATTGGCCTGACATGTTTGACACACCCACCAAACAAGAGAAAACACATCTCAAACCCCGTTGCACACCAATTCCAGGAAACATGTCGTTCAACCCGGAAACCGTAGCAAAACGTTGCTCACCGGTTTGAGCTTGAACTTGCCCCTGTTCACACACAGTTGAGTTGAAGTGATGGCAGTGTGCGGTTTGGTTTGGCAGACGTTCACAACTGTACTGGCCAAGGGTCTTCAACCAGGGGTTCCCCAAACCCTAGGGGGTCCGCCGGTTAATATTTGATCACAAATATAAAAAAAAAAAAATATATATATATATATATATATATATATATATATATATATATATTAAAACATGGGTAAAAAAAAAAAAATCATACGTCTCACTGTACATAGCTATTCTTGTTATGGTTGAGCTGTTGCTTACACATTACATAAACACTCACTAATTTCAGATACTCAGTGATTTGATTCTTAATTGTCCAGCTCACAGTCAAATTAAAATGTTACGTTTTAGTAAAAAGCAAGCTAAACTATAGCTAAAGTTCAGGTAAATCTAAATGTCCTGACTAGTCAAATTAAAATGTATGATATGACTCTGCAAATCCATTAAAACCATTTGAATTGTGATTTTTATCGCAACATGCTTGTTATGATGCTGCATAAATCTTCAATTTAACAATACAAAGTAATATACAGGCAGTGATACATGTGCAACAACAATAATGTGCATAGTTCTGATCTACTGTCTTAACAATATACATATAATTTATTCTTAATCATAATAGTTTATATTAGCTCTGCTTGACACATTTTGTATCTTGGGGTCCCTGCTCCATGTCCCTATCACCTAAGGAGTCCTTGTCCAGAAAATCATTGAAAACCCTTGGTACACTTCCTTGATTTTAGCATCTTTAATATATTATAAATTACATTATATACCTACATGTGTCTGTGACATTAATAAATCTAAATATGTGACCCTGGACAACAAAACCAGTCATAAGGGTCCATTTTTTTTTCGAAATTGAGATTTATACATTTATACTGAAATCTGAATAAATAAGCTTTCCATTGATGTATGATTTGTTAGGATAGGACAATATTTGGTCGAGATACAACTATTTGAAAATCTGGAATCTGAGGGTGCAAAAAAAAAATCAAAATATTGAGAAAAATCACCTTTAAAGTTGTCCAAATGAAGTTCTTAGCAATGCATATTACTAATCACAAAATATTACAAAATATCTTCATGGAACATGATCTTTACTTAATATCATGATTTTTGGCATAAAAGAAAAATCTATCATTTTGACCCATACAATGTATTTTTGGCTATTGCTACAAATATACCCCAGCGACTTAACACTGCTTTTGTGCTCCAGGGTCACATATAAATTGCAGGATAGGGGAATGTGTAGAATAACATGATTCTATGTAAATGATTAAAACAAACTTTCTCAGATGAATGCACTTTAATCACCATATCTGGACATGCATTTTTACTATGATTGGAAATTCCCCCCAAAAGATTAAAATGCATGAAAAAGCGATTTAAAAAATGTAACTGAAAAGTTAAAAGCATTCATATTTTCACAAATGAGTTCCTGAGTCTCATTCAGCAGTTGAAAATCCAGCTCACACTATATAACGTCAAAGCCTTTCATCTGGGAATTGGTGGCAAGGGTGGCGCTCCTCTGTCTCTCATTCCTGAAAAACAAATACAAATAGATACATACTGATCAAACCAACTATTCTGACATTAAAACGCTGAAATATTGCATTAAAAATATGCAAATCTTGTCATGTTTTACATGTAAAAGCAGAAAAACAAAAGTCCACTGTGAGTGCACAGCATGATACTAGAACAAAAACATCACTCTCATTACAATTCTGCACAAAATACTGCAGGTGCTCACCTTTGCCGCCAGATTTGCTGGGATAAGACTTGGAGAAGGAGACGAACGGCTCTGGTGGAGGTAATTCAGTCAGATGATGGAAGGAAAACCTCATCCCCCACTCATCTAAAGGAAAAAAATACAACAGAATATGTGCAGAGTCAGTCAAGAACAATTATATTAGCACTCTGTTTTTCAACAGCAGTTGCATAGCCATATTGAGTCTATATTTATATCGACATCATGCTGTGTCTGCTATCCATTGACTTTAAAGGAATAGTTCACCCAAAATGATAATTAATCACCCCCACATGATCATTCCAATCCTGACTCTCTTTCTTCTGCACAATACACAAGAAGATGGTAGATTGGTAATCAAACTGTTTCAGTGCCCACTGACTTCCATTGTATTTTTTGGCCATAAATTGAATGTCAATGGGAACCAAAACTGTTTGATTACCAACACCAGCATTCTTCAAAATATCACTTTTTTTATATTTCACAGAAAAAAAGAAAGTCATACAAGTTTGGAACAACTTGAGTGTGAGTAAATGATGACAGAAGTGCCATTTTTGGGTGAACTATTCCTTTAAGTTAAATCTGCCCAACAGTATGTTTTCTTTCTTCTATCCCAGAAAACCTGCTTTATTTGCAACTCTGTTTATTGAAGATAGTGGTGAAGAAATGCCACTCTTCGACTTTAAACTCACTGCCTTTTGTATTGTTGACCTATAGGTTGCCTCTCTCTCATTCGCAGGTATAAGATTCTTGTGTCAGTCATATACCTGTGGCAGGTGGTGGAGGGCACTGGTAGCCATTGATGGTGTCGGGGGGTGGTGGAGGGAAGCTGGGCACTCTGGTTGGGTCTGGGGGTAGAGTGGGTCTGCCTGATCCACCGGGACGATTAGGAGGAGGTAAGGGGGGAGACACTCCTCTGCCTCCTCCTCCAGTGGGTGGAGGTGGTAGAGGACCTGGAGGGGAGGTCCAGTCACATAATGAGGAGTCCACAAAATAACAAAACAATTTCTCATTCCTAAACCTCAAAACAGTCATCTGAACCGTGTGTCTGCAGGTAAATGCACATTTCAGTTGAATGAAAAATTGAGAACATTTTAAAAGCCGTAATTATTATTAATCAAATATATGCGACACTGGACCACAAAACCAGTCATAAGGGCAAATGTTTCGAAATTGAGATTAATACATTTTCTATAAGCTGAATAAACAAGCTTTTCGTTGATGTATGGTTTGTTAGGATAGGACAATATTTGGCCGAGATACAACTATTTGAAAATCTGGAATCTGAGGGAGCAAACAAAATCTAAATATTGAGAAAATCGCCTTTAAAATTGTCCAAATGAAGTTCTTAGCAATGCGTATTACGAATCAAAAATGTAGTTTTGATATATTTAAAGTAGGA